TCTCTCTCTCTCTCTCTCTCTTTGAATGATGATGCGTCTGAATGATTGTCCCTCTCTTGAGTAGGAATGAGTTGGCATCCTGCTTCTGTGTGAAAGACTTCTTCCGGAACTCTTCCATTAGTTTCCTGGGTAATCTTCCTACGCAAGGACCCCGTCTACTTGCCTTGTGAACGGTGGATGCGTGTGTATTGTGCAATGCGATCCATCTTTTCCTGTGCATGTCTCATTTTCGCACCTTCCACAGTGAATGCATGTATAGAGATGCGTGACTTTTTCGATTTTAGTTAAACGAGTGTCGTCGGGATTTTGTTCGAGAATGAAAGAGTGTTTAGATTTGTAGCTCTGTTTGCACTGCGCATGCCATCTGCCTTATGATTCACGACATCAGCAGCCGAGCCACGAGGCGGCCCTGAGAAACAAGGCACCCAGGGACCAACGTTGTGTTGAACTCATCGGACCCGTAGCCATACTGATCTGTGATTGCTTTCTCTCTCTTGTGTCAAAAAGATTGATTGGGGGACGCGCGAATCGCTTCTGTTCTTAATGATGTCTCAGGATATTTTGTGATTGATTGACATGTGGACTGACAAGTACCCTTCGATTGGGCACCAGCCTCCTGTATCTCTCATCCCAACACGACCTTTTCCTTACAGTGAGGAAAGGACACGTGTATGTGAGTGGGACGTACGAGAAGCCGTTGCACAAATCGGCGGGCAGTATTACCTCCCTCCGACCAACCGCTGTTCTGGGTTCGTAGAAGCCGGGTTTGTTATTATCGATACGCACTTCCCACCTTACTCGGTATTGTTGCCATTTAACGAGTTAATCGGCATTCCGTGGACGACAGTAGAACCCCACTGGCCGCGCACTCTGTGCACCGAATGTCAGCGTTTTGAGCGCTACGAGTCCAGGGGTTTCCACTACTGTGTGCGGAGTGAAGACGAGCATAAAGAAAGAGCCACGCGACTGAGACCCTCCACGTCAGACTCGGAACTAACCAGCGAACGGCGGCGGGATTTGATACGAAAATGAGACACGCGAAGCGTGCCCAAGCCTTTCTGTTCTAAACGACGGGCTACAGCCCGGTGGGAGGCATGACAATACTTTTTGGATTGAATTTGGGTCCTTCTCTCTCTTTCCCGCCTTGCCTGCGCGCGCATTCCGCGACGCGCGAAACGATCGACTTGCTCCATCGGACCAACACGGGGGATTTCAGTTTCGTCTGTGTCCCCACACTCAATTTCCAAGAATCCTTGGCACACCCCATCTTGCTGTTTTTCTGGGCCTCTTTTCCGCACAGCTAAAACTCCGAACGGAAGACAGCACAGGGCGTGAGGTTGGTATCGGAGCCGACATGTGTTGGTTCTGATGATAGTAAGTTGAACTGGCGAGAGGTAGGAGAGACCCTCAACTAACTCGTCGGGATCGCCCAGTAACCAGGTCTAAGTCTAGTGCGGTTGCACCAGCCATACCAATGGTGGACGATACTAGGGTGATCGTTAGTATCCCTGCCCCCTTCCCCTTCTTCCCTAACCATACTCATCCCTTGGTTGGAAGCTGTCGAAGCTCAGAACTACAGTGCAGCGGACTTCCCCCGCGTTCTGACATTGCTACTTCGCAACACATCCCGTGACTGATTTAGGAAACATGCGTGGGTAGATTGGGCTACCTTCAAGCAAGCCTTTTTGGCTCGATTCGATACAGTTAGTGAAGATTGCAAACCACGGGAATTGTTGCCCGATTTCGTCGACCGATTCCAAACCACGTTGGACAAATCCGGGCGGGATGAGAAATCCGCTCGAGATTTGTTCATCGACCACCTACGAAGTTCGACACTGAAAGGGAAATTACAGAAAAAGGTTCCGCAGAAAACGCGCACCAGTTATCGACTATCATCGCTAAAGCATTGGAACTGGATCTGGCTGATACAAAAAAATATATCAGCCAGGGAGATGAAGACATTACAGATACAATACGGGATGTAACGGCCAAAAGGCAATCATGGTTGCAGGCGGTCGAACGGTTTTATCCCCGCCCCGACCATGATCTTCCCGGCAATATCGTTTTCGATATCCCGACTGCTTCTCCTCCATCTCCCCCGGTGAATCAATCGATCGCAGCCGTTAAAAGCGAAACCTCGTCCGAATCCCGCTCGCCGGCCGTAACCATTCTACACCTTGCCCAGATGATCCATACAACTACTACCAAGCAGTCCGAATGGATGGGCAACCTGATCTGAATGCAGGTCGCCCATATGGAACGAATGGAACAGGTAATGAGCAGGCTCATCAAGCCTAACCCAACCCCTGCTCGGCCTGCCCCTGCATCGTTTCCACTCTTACCTGCTCCGCCCGCTCCAGGATTCGCCCCTAAGTTTTCCCATCTAGCTAATCCAGCAGGAAAAATCGAGTGTTTTAACTGCAAACAGCCCAGGCATTTCGCCCGGGACTGCCCGCAGCCGAAACGAAATCAGCCTCCCCCTGTTGCGGCCCCCGTCGCCTTTAATCAAGGACGAATGGTTGCTTTGATGGATACGGATCAAGGAAGAGAACTCATGGCATATGCCCCCCAGTAGCCTTCCCCTTCGACGACACTGGCGGCGACATCATGACCTTCCTCCTCTGACGCTGCTGACATAGTCGATCCACTCGAATACCTTCATCTTGCAGGCATGATCGGAGCAATCCGATCGGTCCCAGATGATCTCGAGTGGGTCGATCGCGAGTCCAATCCTGGACCATAGTTTCAGACAGGAGACATTGATGTATTGAAAACGCTCAAGCAACTAGATACCCGAGTGCCCATCCCAGTGGGACATCTGCTCACCATATCTGAAGTGGCGAACGATAAGCTTCTACAACACTGCCAGAAAAATCAAAAACGTTTCACCTATCAATGCATACAACGGATGTTGAAGAAGAAAGAAGAAAGCGAGGAAGTCGTACCCCCTGAGCCTGACACAAAAGAACCCGAACCTGAAGCCGCACGTATAGCAGCGATCTCTGTAGCGGAAAAAGATTACTTCGTACGAGCTCGGCCGGTACTATGAAAAAGGGCGGAATGTGACTGTGAAGTGTGGGGCAAGCCGTTTAATGCCCTTATTGACACAGGGTCTTCTGCAGTAGCCATATATCATTGGATACTGTCAAAAAGACGGGACGACTTGGATCTATTCTTCCTCAATCTGGCAGAGACAACTATGTCTCTGCCGACGAGGAAGCAATGAACATCGTAGGCATTATCGAGAATGTGGCCGTAAAAGTTGGACGAGTACGCGTCCTTGTTAACGCGCTCGTAATAGATGTACATTCCTATTCTATGTTGTTGGGATTACCTTGGGCGATGGCGGTAGGCGCACATCTGCATTTTGATTCGAAGCAACTGGTGCTCACACAAAATGGGGGAAAACCTCAAACTGTTCCTTTGCGAGTTTCCACCCGGATGATGAAGCGGGTCCCTAACCCGGCCCAAATAGGGATGATCCGATACATTGATCCAGATGAATGCTCTCCCTCGCGCCTCGGAGATGAAATTAGAGAACGAGAATGCGAAGAAGAGATGCCCAGTAAAGAGGAATGGAAGCATCTGGTTGAACTTTTCGAACATGAAACCCCCGAAGAATTTCGAGTGTGCCCCGATACTGCTCGAAGCTTCCACGTGGATTCAGAAGACAGTGCATTCACGCCTCTAACAACCCAGGTCAGTCCTTCAGTCCTCCTCGGGGAACCCATATTACAAGTTTCCGATTTGGCTGATGATTTGGAACCCCATCGCACATTGTACGAGGGAGCTCTCTCCTTATGAACACGTTATCAGCAAACGGAACAGTATTTAGACGTTTTTGTTTTTCCACCTCGATCGTTACTAACCACAGGAGCCACCATTGCCTTGGTTAACCAAGAAGCGGAAGCACCGGTAAATGATGTACCTAATCTGATGCAAGAAATGACGGATCTAACAGGGTTAACTGTGGAACCGACCTCGGTTGGTTCAGAAACAAAAATGATCAGCCCTAATGAGTCCCAGATGGTAGCAATTGTCTTCTCTGTGCGCACAAGTAGTTCCGTTTTCTCTAAGTGTCAATGAGCGGTGGGAGCGGCCGGTTGATTGGATCGATATCCCCCTTAAGATGTCCAAGGAATCAACGATCACCCTCCCGAGTCACGTTCCCGCGGAACTACGAAAGTCGTTAATCCGTGTGTTAAATGGTTACGCAGATGTATTGAGCGTGCACGATAATGACATCGGTCTGACGAATGTGATCGAGCATGCTATTATGACGGGAGACCACCCACCCATTAGCTGTGTTCCTTACCGATATTCGCCAGCTCAACGAGCGGCCGCTTTTCAGCGGATTAAGGAGTTCAAAGCTAATGGATGGATCGAACCCGCTATAGGACCATGGTCTTTCCCTGTAGTAATCATACCTAAAAAGGCTGGAGGGATTCGCATTTGCATTGATTACCGAAAGTTGACTGATATCACGATCAAAGATGTGTATCCCCTCCCCCGGATTGATGAGTTATTGGATGCGATTGGGGGTGCTCGAATTTTCAGGAAGTTTGAAGTTCGTCATGGGTTCCATCATCTTCTTGTCCGGGAGGAAGATCGACCGAAAACAACGTTTGTGCTTTTCGAAGGTACGTGGCAATGGATTCGATGTCCGATGGGTATCTGCAATGCCCATGCGACTTTCCAGCGGACCATGAACATGGCTTTTCAGAACTTTGTATGGAAGACTCGTTTGGCGCAGAACATCATCAACTACTGCGTGATTGTGTACATGGATGACATCCTAGTGTATTCGAGTTCCTACGAGGGACACGTGCAGCACATCGAATGGGCACTACATGCGTTACGAGATGCAGGTTTCAAGGTGGCGCTTGAGAAGTGTCCGTTTTTCCTCACCACCATTTCTTTCCTCGGGCACGTGGTGATAGACAAGGGACTCCGACCGAAGCGGCAGAAAGTGGCAGTTGTCAGGGACGCGCCAGTGCCTACCACTATCACGCAAGTTCGCGCCTTTCTGGGCCTAGCCTCGTATTACCAAAGATTTATCAAGGGCTTCGCGGCGATTGCGGGACCCCTCACGAATCTCCTGCGCAAGGATCAGCCGTTGATCTGGACGCCGGAGTGCGATCAAGCGTTTTCCAAACTCAAGGCTGCTCTCATTTCGGCTCCGGTCCTTATAAGACCGGATCCCGAAAAACCTTTTGTTCTCATCACCGACTGGCAGCCAGAGGCGATCTCGACGATCCTTGCCCAGGTGGGACCGAGCGGATTCGAGGGTGTAGTGGAGTATGCGTCTAAATCAGTGCCCGCCTGCAAGCGCAATTATGCCGCTCCAACGGGGGAATGCTATGCGGCTCTCTGGGGAATCAGTCACTTCCGTGCTTACCTGTATGGGCGAAAATTCACCCTGGTAACTGATCATGAGCCCCTGTTGGCTCTGAAGAAGTCGAAGGATTACTCGGGCATGATCGGGCGATGGGCAACGGTGCTGCAGAGCATGGACTTTGACATTCGTCATCGAAAGCACGAGAGACACAGAAATGCGGACGGACTGACACGACTGCACCGGCCTGAGAAGGTTCCGAGGAATGAGGAGGTGATTCCGTGGAACGAACCCGAACAGGAGATTGGACCTCGGTACGGCCAAGTGGAGATCTTATCGAAGCAGTAAGTGACACGAGGACTGATCGTTCTGTTCTACCCTCCCTGCATCCCCTCCTCCTCTGCCATCATGACTTCCCCACTCGCCTCCACAATCCCTTCTTCTCCTACTAACTCTGCCCCTCTCACTTCCTCGGCTTTCTTCGCCACCCTTCCCGATAAATTCTGCTATTTTTGCACGTGTATTGCACGAGTTTATGGTGTCGATTGTTATCCCTTCGAGACCGGATTTGTCGATTGGGTAGAATGTGCCACGTGTGTCAACCGTGCCCACGGGGCCTGCGTTCGATATCGGACGAGTAGCAAGGAATGGAGGTGCCCCCTGTGTAGAACGAACAAGCTCCCCACGGAGGTTCGATTTGAGGCCGCCCGTACGGACGGTCCTGAATACGACGAAAAATACCGACGGGCGAAAGTCTGGACGGATAAAATTTTATTGGCAAAATAAGCGAGATTATCATTGGGCCATCTCACCAAACACGACAGACGTAGGGCGACCGAGAGATCTCGGGACTATCGATGGATCAACGGTCATTTGGAAAAGCGTAAAACTGACGGATCGGGTTCGTGGCTGACAGTTCCCCATCCCTTCCAGAGATACGATTGGATCCAATCTGCTCACGAGGAACAGGCCGCTCATTTCGCGATACGTGTCACAGAAGCAACTGTAGACCAGAATCGATGGTTCTGGTCCAATATACGAGGTGACGTCAAATACATTGTCGCTAACTGTCCGGTCTGTGCCGCTGATCGTGCCCCTATACGGGGACCAAACACAATCGTACCAACGGAAGTAGGCGTCCTTTTCAGCGAGTCAGTATGGACACGAGAGACATTGACGTGCCACCTGGCCCAAACCGCTGTGAATATTCTATCCAGTTGGTTTTAATTTACCATTTGTCCAAATACATCGAAGTTTATCCCTGTAAGACCCGAAAGGCCGCAAAAATAGCCACGTACATCGAACGGTTCCTCTATACCCATCTAGATACGGAAGAAATTCTAACCGACAATGGGTCTGAATTTAAAGGTGAGGTAGAAGAACTACTTGTGCGAAGGGGCGTCACGCTCCGACATACGGCACCCCACGTGTCCCAGTCGAACGGGTTGGCCGAGAATGCCAACCGTATGATTAAAACCGC